AGGATATTAGATGATGTATAAAACCAAAAACCCAACCAAACTCACTGCCATCGAGTCAGATCTGACTCACAGCAACCATTCCTTGGGTTTCCAAGGCAGTGTCATTATGGAAGTGGATTGCCCAATGATCCTTCTGAGGAGTGGCTGGTGGGTTTGAACCACCAGCCTTAGCACTGAGAAAATCAGCTGCAAAGGACTTCTTTCAAGTGCTGAAGAGCAAAGATGTCTCCTTGAGGACTAAGGTGTCCTTGACACAAGCCATGGTATTTTCAATTGTCTTATATGCATGTGAGAGCTGGACAATGAATAAGGAAGAAGAATTGATGCTTTTGAGTTGTGTTTCTGGCAAAGAATGCTGAAAGTATCATGGACTGCTAAAAGAACTAACAGATTTGTCCTGGAGGAAGTCCACCTGAAATGCTCCTTGGAAGCGAGAATGGCCAGACTTCATCTCACCTACTTTCATCGTGTTGTCAGAAGGGACCATTCCCTGGAGAAGGACGTCATGCTTGGTAAGGTGGAGAGTCAAAGGAAGAGGGGAAGGCCCTTAGTGATATGGATTGACAGTGGCTATGGCCATGGGCTCAAGTATAGCAAGGATCGTGGAGCTTGTGCGGGACTAGGCAGTGTTTCATTCTGCTGTGCATAGGGTCGTTACGAGTCAGAGATGACTTGACAGGCACCTGACAACAACAACAACACCACCATAACTCAAGGCCTCAATTGTTCTTTGGTCTTCTTTATTCATTATCCAGCTTTTGCACACATATGAGGCAATTGAAAATACCTTGGCTTGATGAGCACCTCAGTCTTCAAAGTGATATCTTCACTTCTTAACACTTTAAAGACATTTTTTACAGCAGATTTGCCCAATGTAATATGTCATTTGATTTCTTGATTGGTGTTTCCATGACCAATGATTGTGGATCTAGGTAAAATGAAATCCCTTACAAGTTCAATATTTCCTCCGTTTATTTTGCTATTGGTTACTAGTCCAGGTGTGAGGATTTTTGTTTTAAGTTGAAGTGCAATGCATAACAAAGATGATAGTATTTGATCTTCATCAGTAAGAGCTTCAAATCCTGTTCACTTTAGCGGGATAAACTATGTCATCTATATATCACAAGTTGTTAATAAATGAGCCTTTCTTTAATCCTGGTTCGTTCTTCTTCACATTGTCCAGCTTCTCCAATTATTTGCTCAGCACACAAATTGAATGAGTATGGTGAAAGGACACATTCATTTCCTGATTTTAAACAAGCAATATTCCCTGTTCTGTTCAAATGTCAGACTCTGGTTCTATGTATGTGTTCCTTATGAGTACAATTAAGTGTTCCACAATTCCCATTTTTCCGAAAGTTATCCATAATTTGTTGTGATTCACAGAGCCCAATGCCTTTCTTCGCATGGTCTATAAAACACAGGTAAACATTTTTTCTTGTATTTTGTGCTTTCAGCCAAGATCCTTCTGTTATCAGGAATAGTATGTCTCATTTTATGTCCTCTTCTGAATCCAGCTTAAATTTCTAGCAGTTCTCTGTGGATATTCTGCTGCAACCGTTTTTGAATTATCATCAGCAAAATTTTATTTCCATGTGAAATTAATGGGTATGACCCAATGGCACAGAACAACAACAACATTAATGACATTGTTTACTTCCACTTTGTGCTCGATCACCTTTCTTTGGAGTGGGCATGAATATGGATATCATTTTGTCCATTGGCTAGGTGGCTGTCTTCCAAAATTCTTATCATAAATGAGTGAACACCTCCAGCACTGTATTCAGTTGTTGAAACATTTCATCTGGTATTCTGTCAATTCCTAGACCCTTGTTTTCACCCAGACCTTCAGTGATGCTTGGATTTCTTCCTTCAATACTATCAGTTCTTGATCATATGCCACTTCCTGCAATCGTTGAAAATCAATCAATTCTTTTTGGTACAGTGACTCTGGGATGATATGCTGTTGCTATTACGATCTGTTGAGTTGGTTTTGACTCATAGCAACCCTATATACAACAGAAGGGAACACTGCCCAGTCTTTTGCCATCCTCACAATCATTGCCATGCCTGAGCCAATCATTGCAGCCACTGTGTCTATCCATCTTGTTGAGGGTCTTACTCTTTTTCTCTGACCTTCTATTTTACCAAGCATGGTATCCTTCTCCAGGTACTGGACCAAATATGACCAAAGTATGAGAGATGAAGTCTGGCCATTCTCACTTCTCAGAAGCATTCTGGCTATACTTCATCCAAGACAGATGCTCGTTCTTCTACAAGTCCATGGTACATTCAGTATCCTTCCCCAACACAACAAATCAAATGCATCAATTAGTCTGCATTATGTTTTGTTCACTGAATAGCTCTCACATGCGTATGAGCCTATTGAAAATACCAGGGTCTGGGTCAGGCCAGTCTTAGTCTTCAAAGTGACATCTTTGCTCTTAAGCACTTCAAAGAGGTCTTATGCAGCAGCTCTGTCCCATGCAATATATATCATTTGATTTCTTGACTGCAGCTTTCATAGGTATTGATTGTGGATCCAAGTAAAATGAAATCCTTGACAACTTCAATATTTTCTCCTTTCATCATACTGCTGCTTATTAGTCCACTTTTGGAGATTTTTATATTCTTTATGTTGAAGTGTAATCCAACAAAAAGGTGTGACAAAGTATATTCTTGTAATGTATCTTCTACAAAATCATTATAAATTTCTCCTCTGAATTTTTAATACCACATGTTTAAAATTCTTTCAAAGGTATTTCAGTAAGTATCCAAACATTATTTCAGCTTTCTCCTAAGATTTTTAAAAAGAAATATACTTATTTGGCTCTTTATAATACAATTTTCAACATACAATTGTCCTGTTTTCCAACTGGTACCTGAGCAATGAGGTTGTGATCCACTCCAATGGCCATTTAACTGGCAAGTCCTTGATGACTGGCCTACAAGGGTCCGCTTTCCTGCGCAGGAATAGTGAACAGTAGACCCAACTGTATACTTTTCTCCAGACAGGACTGCATTAGGAGGAACGCCAGGGTGTCCACAGTCAATCACTACAATACATAATTATTGAATATAAAATTTTTTTATATCTCCTATCGAACAACCTGCACCAATGCATTTACAAAATAAGTCAGTTTATTTACATAACACTTCCAACAATCATATATATATATATATATATATATATATATATAGAACCAGCTTTTTAAAAATTAAATGATCTTTCAGTTATATCAGCTTTTTTGATACCCATATATTCTGAGCATGTGTCTAACAGGAGAATTGTAAACTAAGTAAGAAAGAATGATTGAGTATGACAAGGTTGTGTGTGTGTGATCAGTGCATGTGTGTATATATGCCCATATGATATATGCCTGGTAGGGATGTACAAGCTTGGAAGAAGAGTGATGTGGACTGGCTTAATAAGGACATAGGGGGGCACACAGGTTTCAAAAACCCATACAGGATTCAGAAGGAAAGAACTTTAAGGGTGAGGGAGAGGCAATGAAGATGGATCTGCTGCTCACAATCCAATTTGTAGTCTAGAATCATTTCTAACCGGGCCAGTATGGAATGTTTATACTGAACAATGAAGACAGTCAATGGCTTGTCATCAAACAAATCTCTACTAATTGTAGCCGGAATCTAATACCACACATTGTACAATATTCTTTATAAGCTAGAGGGAGCTTGGGAATTCAATGTGTGCGCTTGGTTAGTTGTAACTCAGAAATGCCATTGAGTGCAGTGTGACTCTAGAATATTAAGCCATGCATGAGGAGCACATCACTAAGGGAGTGGCTAAGGGGAAACGCCTTATAGCTAAGAAATTCCAAAGAACTACATTTTCACATTTCCTATAGAAAGAAATGTGGTTTTTTTTTAATCTTTAATGTTGCAGTAACATAAGGCCAAGTACCTGAATTATTCAAACAATTAGACTACTCGATTAGTAGTTTACAAAGTCAAAGTATTTTTTGAAGGAGGATAAGAATTTCATGAATTATTTGTATATTATCTGAAATTTTAAAGGCAAAGTATAAAGTTAGATTTTTTTTTTTTTTACTGCATGAATGCTGTCACAAAATTTTCAAGGAAGTTCATATAAATGTGAAGAAATGCCTCTAAATAAAGCATGATAACACAATTTGATAATTTATTAATTTTAGTATAAACAAAACTTGTTTTACTTGTACAATGATTTCTTGTCATGCTCCTTTAGTCTGTAAAGTTCTTCTCCTCTTCTTTAATACATTCCTTATTGTAGCATAGTGCCTAAGGCACTTGACTATTAACTAGAAGGCCGGTGGTTCAAACCCACCAGCCACTCCTCGGAAGGAAGTTTGGGCAATCTACTTCTGTAGTGATACCGCCTCAGAAACCCAAGGAGGGGTCACTATAAGTCGGGTCCTACTCGACGGCACATTACAACAACAACAACAACATCTCAAATCTTACCATATCAATAGAAACAATTCTTAGAATTCATGACCACTTTTCTGTGTCCTCATAGAATTTTGATTTATTCCAGCTAAAGTATTTTTCTTAGAACACATGTTAGTTACATGTATATCTGCTTATTTATCATCTACAAACCCTCACACAAAATGCACTCATTAAGTATTTACTGACTTGAACGATGATGTTCATTTACAACTACTAGCATTATATGTGTATCTATTTGTATACTGTCGATATTTAAAATCATTATGATTTAAGTACCATATTTGTCTAAATTTCCAAGAATTCTGAAACTCTGTTGTCTGTTTATGTTAAGACTAGTTTCCTGTAAATTAAATTTGAAAAATTAGAAAAGAAAAACAATGTAGATGCCTATCATGGGATAGAAATATCACAGAGTATAAAAATGCCTGCTCCTTACACTCTCTCTGAACTATAAAGTTCAATTCAAAGAAAAATAAAGAATTATTTATCACATTAATATTGAGGAAAAAGTGGAATTTGGCATTTAATTGACAGAATATAGGGAAGAAAAGGTTCAAAACAATAAAATTAGTATACTTCCTTCGATATATAGTTCTAAATAGATTTAAAAAGTCATACATACACATATTGCTTCCAAGTCTTTTTTTCAAGGAAAAATTCACATTATCTACTTACTGATACATTCTGGTAGAGGCTTGTCCCATTGTCCATTTGGTTGACATATCAAAACTGAAGATCCAAATAAAAAGTATCCAGGATTGCAGTCATAGAATACCACAGTGCCGTAGGTGAAATTGCCATGTTCTATTTTACTTTCTCTTTTGGAATTGGCTGGAATTCCAGGGTCAGAACAGTTGACCACTAAACAAATGACAATTTAAAAAAAGAACTTTGAAATAATACACATTTCCTTAGATTTCCATTAAAAATTTTCTCTTTGGGAATTAGCTGGAATTCTGGGGTCAGAAAAGTTGACCATTAAACAAATGACAATTAAAAAAAAAAAAACTTTGAAATAATACACGTGTTTCCTTAGATTTCCATTAGAAACTTTAAAAGTTAGTATCAAAATAAATTTATTTGAACAAATAAAAGATTCCAAGTATCTTGGTTATCTAGACAATGGACTGAAATTTGTGTGCTTGAAAGTGCAGAAAAAGGAAAACTATTGCAGAAATTATTTAAACAATAGCAACTCTGTAAGTAGTATGCTGAGTATAGACACAGAGAATAACTTTTAAGCTGTAATTGAACCTTAAGAAGAAAAGTAGAAAAATGACAATTTGGTTGTGTTTTATTAGGCATTATGATAAATCATACTTTAAAAATGGAAAAACATCAAATAATATTTTTTAATGTTTCTATGAAGTCTCAATGCTGTTATTTTAATAATTCAGTCTCTAGTTTTCCTCAAAATATGATAATAAATGCTAAAGGGTAGTTCCATTATTATGAAGCAAATGGCACTAAAAATGACCTCAATGACTTTTTATATGCAACCCCAACGTAATAAAATTAAACAGTTGAAATTAAGTTTTCCAATTTTAATTTTTAAAAAAAGTTAAAAATTTAAGAAAAAGGTAAAGATACTGAGATTATATCAGTTTTTTTTTTTGTTTTATTAGCTAAACACTTTCTACTGCTCAGCCCCCGCTGTTTCAAACGTATCAGTTATGCTTCCACATACATACTGTTAATATGCCCCAAACTGAAATACAGTTACACTTTTACCTTTGCACACAGGTGGAGGGTGACTCCACTGTCTATTGGCTTGGCACTGTGCCTTTGTGGGCCCTTGCATAAGATATCCAATATTGCAAGAGAATGTTACCACATCATTAAAGTTGAATCCATTTCCACTTGTTCTTCCATAAATTGGACTACCGGGATGACCACAGCTAACAGCTAATGCCAACACAGGGGAAAACCAAAACAAAAGAATATTTGGTATTCCATTCTCACATCAATTATGTTTCATTATATAAGCATTTCAAAGTAGAAGTAACACCACTTTTTATAAGGAAATGAATTTAAAACACTTGTACTAAGGCAAAGGAACAATGTAGACTTTCAAAATATTTGAGTGTAATCAAAGAAAATTAGCAAATAGAAAATAATATACAATTGTGATAATTTCATTCAGGTTATGTATAGATGTTTAAATTTTGTGTTGTGTATTTTTTTAAAGAAGAACCAATTTAACTCCATATCACTAGTTCATAGAAAAATAGTATTTTTCTAGCTTTGATATTTGAATTGAAAGCAGTTTTTATATTGAAATTTGAAATTTCCTTTAACTTATTTATACGAACCATTTTTATGAATTTAGATTCTTAACTAAAAGTGTATTTCAAAATAAATTACTGTTCCTATATTATGGGGAAAATAGGAAATGAAGCAACATAATGTACCACAATTCTCATCAATATTTTAGAAACCCAATTTTAAAATTCTCCAAACATCAAACTTACTACTTTATTTCCTTCACTGTTAATACATAATTTATTACATTTTTTGAAAAAATAATGGTATCAATTAGATGAACTACTAAAGTTTTCTTAATGTTATAGCTCTACTCTAGATTTTACATAGTGCTGGGTTTCCCCAAACACTTTATATCTATGAATTGTTTTATTGCATCATCTCTTTCTATTAATCAGAGCAACTCCAGTAATAGTGTTTCATAATTGGGCACAGTGAAAGATCATAGTCACTTTTAGCACTTTCAAAATGACCCAAGAGCAATTATTTTTAAGCTGTATTGTTAATGTCAGTCCACTCATTTGGAAATTTAACTGCATCTTATTCTTGCTTAAAATTATCAATAAAGAAACTAGCTTTACCCTAAAGGCCAATTCCTATTTATACTTTGAATTATTTAACAAGAAAAACAGTGTTATTAGTTGGTTATGCTTGAATATATATGAAATGGAAAAAATTCATGACTGAGCTGAAGATAAAATATTGTTTTCTTTAAATCATTAGACAATCTGTGTGTGCATTGTGCATATGTGTGAAAAAAGTAATCTGAATTGTTTAGTATTTGCTCCAGTAGCCTATTAAATCTTACCATGCAAAAATATTTTCCAAGAAATGAGATTTCTAATAAATTTCTGTTATGGGAAAAAAAGGACAATAATGGAACTTATATAGATTAAAATAATCACAAAATAAATTATTTCCCAGGAGCCCACATTAGAAGCCTCATGTATATTTTTTCTAAAGCCTCCAATATAGATTCTATCCAATAATTCTTTGATCTATTACAAATCTTACAACACATTTATAGTGATTTCCCCTATTTTGCAACACCAATTTTAACATAAATGTCCACAATTGGGTATTGAAATATTTAGGAAGCAAAAAAAAAAAAAAAAAAGAAGGAACATATGGATATTTGCCTTTGAGTTCTAAAATAGGATAGTTTGTTCTTCCCATTTTCCGGTTGATGACTTTATATGCTCCTGAACACAGTAGTACATGACTATATAAAAGATAAATTGTGGGAATTTAGTTTATATATTCACCTTTATATATTTATATTTTTGAAAAGGGTAAGGATATATGGGTGAAGATATAAAGTAAATTATATACAAATAATATATAACTATTTTAAACTAGATGTATCATATATATATATATATATGTATGTATATATACATATGTATATGATACATGTAGTATTATGTGTATGTGTAGATATGGAGTAGATATATGTATATGGAGTAGATATATGTATATGATACATGTATATACACACACATATATATAATATTTATAATTGCAGAAAATGAGAGATCTGCCATATCTTTTGCCATGCTTACTTACGCACACAGGATGGGAGTTGACCAGACCAATTGTGATCCTGTTGACAAATTCGCACTGAAGAACCAATCAATCGAAAACCAGGATTACACTGATAAACAACAGTATCCCGGTATCCATAATTTTCTCCAATAACTTGACCATTAACAATGAGTTCTGGAATTCCACAGTGACCAGCTGAAACAGGCAATAATAATAATAATAATAATATTTTAATATTTGGATTTGTTTTGTGTACTCTGTAAATATGCATTATGAAAATTTTTAAGTTTATTTAGAAGCATGTAATAAATAATTATGTAAAGAACAATTCAAACATTTTATGACATCAAACATTGTATAACATAAAGCATCCCAGTTGAAAATATGTGTTTTAAAATTATAACTGAAGACCCAAGACATGAAAGTCTTTCTTCATTTCAATAGATTTTGCATAGAAAATTTGCACATTATCTGATTCTCTCTTGTATGTTCAACCAAAGTGTGTGTGTGTGTGTATAACAATCACAGCAACAACAACAAAATTCAATGATTTTTCAAGCCACTGGCATAATCTATATTACTTTTTACAAATAAAAGAAAGAAAAGTTAATATGTATTCTACATAAATTAAGCAACAATGAGCAAGAATCAATCAAAAAATGAATACAGGGGAATTTCTACATCTAGTAATAGCAGGATATCTTCTTTTGGACGAATTCTCCCATAAATAAAAATTATATGTTCTTAATAAAATATATAGAACTATTACCTAAAGTTACTCTAGAGTAAACGAAAGCTGGCAGAACCCAGAGGGGAGTCGGAAGGGGAAAGAAGGCAACGGCCTTGTGTGAAATTCTGTTTTCACAACTCTTTGGTGAGAACAACACAATCACTTCCATGTGATATGGAAAAAAATTAAGATACAAATCCTCAGTCGCACTGGCAGGAACCAGAGACATAGATCAAGACATAATACACAGCTGAAAAATGAGGAGAATACAAAAAAAAGGAAGAGCCACAAACAATAGACTGAATTTCCGTGCATATACTTTCTCCTCATATTTAGCTGGTAACTTAAACATGCATTATGTGAACTCCAAACACCCCAACTACACTAAAAATACTGAATAATTTCAAATGGTGGCCACCACCAGGAATAATAAAATTTGGAGGTTAAGTCCAATCAACTGCCTACCAAAACAAATAATAACAAACAAAATATATCAACATTTTTTTAGAGAAATATAACAGAATTCAGAGTCTCAACAATGTTATCATTTAAAATGTCAGAATACAATAGCAAAAGTAACTAAGTTCCTTAACAAAGAGAAAAACATGATCCATACTAAAGAGTCAAGATAATCAAGTGTGACCAATATCAGAATTCTGAGATATTCAAACTAGTACACAACGCACTGCCATCGAAGCCCGATCTGACTCATAATGACCCCTCTTTGGGTTTCCGAGGAAGTATCACTATGGAAGTAGATTGCCCATCCTTCCTTCCGAGGAGTGGCTGGTGGGTTTGAACCACCAGCCTTCTGGTTAGCAGTCAAATGCTTTAGGCACCAGAGTTCCCCAAACTAGTACATAAGGATTTAAACCAGCTATAATACTCTATTCAAGGGCATTAATGGATATATAATAAGTGAACAAATAGGAACTTTCAATGGAAAAATAGAAACCAACAAAGAACAACCAAGTGAATATTGTAAGACTGAAAATTGTAATATCTGAAATTAAGATTTCTCTGAAAAGGCTTAACAAAATTTGAAGGCCTTAAAAGAAAGATTCGGTGAACTGGAAGATAGGTAGAAAAAGTAACTAACCAGAAGAAGAGAAAAGTGATTAACAAGTTAAGAGAGAATAAGTGGATATTTTTTCATTTTATATCAAAAGATTTTACCATTCTCTTCAACAAATAGTGCTGGTACAACTGGATTTCCACATGTAGAAGAATGAAGCTGAATCCTTACCATATATGAAAATTATCTCAAATGGATCAATAACCAAAATAAAAGATCTAAAGTGGCAGGTTTTTTGTTCATTTGTTTTATTATAGAACTCCTATAAAGAAACTTAGGGGTAAATTTCCAAGACCTTGAATCTGGCAATGAATAACTAGATATGGGATGAAAATCATGAGCAACAAAACACAAAGTAGATAAATTGAACATCATCAAAATTAAAAACATTGGGTTATAAAAACATATTATTCCCTCAATGATATCCCTCCTTCCATGCCCTCTTATGATTCTGTCTTGAATTTCTGGCAGTTTCCAGTCCCTGTACTGTGCAACAATTTTTTAAATTGTCATTACCAAAACTTTACTTGCCTATGATATTAATGATATCTTCAATAATTTTCACATTCTACTGGAACACCTTTCTTTGGGATGGAAAAGGTTGCCAGGCAGCTATCTACCAAATGTTTTTGCATAGAAAAGTGAACACTTCCAGTGTAGCATCTGTTTGTTTACACATTTCCATTAGCATTCCATCAATTCCTAGAACCTTGTTCTTCACCAGTGCCTTCAGTGCAGCTTGTAATTCTTTCTTCACTACCATTGGTGTTTGATCATATGTTACCTCCTGAAATGGTTGAATGCCAACCGATTCTTTTTGATTAAGTGAGTTTTTGTATTCCTTCCATCTTCCTTTGATGTTTCCTGCATCATTCAATATTTTGCCCATAGAATCCTGCAATATTGCAACTGAAGTTCTGAATTTTTTCTGTAGTCCTTTCAGCTTGAAAAATGCCAAGCATGTTTACCCTTTTGGTTTTCTAACTCCAGGTCTTTGCAAATTTCATTATAATACTATACTTTGTTTTCTGGAGTCATCCATTTTGCTTCACAATTTCTTCCTTTCACTTTAAATATTTTAAATTCGTGAACAAGTTGCAGAATCTCTTCTGATATCCATACTTTGCACATGTGGGCTTGTATGAATTTTCTTTAGCTTCAACTTAAACTTTCACATGATCAGTTGATAGTTTGCTCCAATTGGCCCCTGGCTAATGATATTGAGCTTCTCCATTACTTCTGTACACATATGTAGTCAATTTGATTCCCATGCATTCCATCTGCATGTCCCAGGGGTGTAGTCACTGTTTTAGTTTTTGGAAAAAGGTATTTCCAATTAATAAGTTGTTAGTTGTGCAAAATTCTGTCATCTGATCTTCAGTCATTTCTATCACCAAGGCCATATGTCCCAGCAAACAATCCTTGTTTGTTTCCAAATTTTACATTCCAATCACTAGTAATTATCAATGCACCTTGATTGCATCTTTGGTCCTTTTCAGAAAGAAGAAGTTGATAAAAATCTTCAATTCATTCACCTTTGGTATTAGTGGTTGGTGAATAACTTTGAATAATATTTGTATTTGCTGGTCTTTCTTATAGTCCTATGGATATTATCCTATGACAAGTATGTACATTTGTCAAATCTCATCAGATAGTGTCCTTATGATATATACCTTTCACTATAAAAAAATTTTTTAAGCAAGAAAAAGTGTTGTAAATAAATATTGAACTCTAGCTAATGATATTCATTGTGAGGTATTCTAATGTATATAACTTACTTTGAAATGAATTAAAAAAAATGAATGATGGACTGACAAAGTTCCTGATAATGGATAGATAAGGTGTTGAATAAATATGAGAAAATACTAATTGTAGAATCTAGGTTGCTGGGATATGATTATTCACTGTCAATTATTTCAACTGATAATTTGACAAAAAGTTATTCAAAAAATGTTAGAGTGTATTGATACATGCCCTATACTTACATAATTATGAGCACGTTCTGCTGGCCATTCTAAGTCAACAGGCATATAGGATAAACTGCTTTCAAACACTGGAATACTAAATTATATGCATCTTTAAGAATAATTTCAAGCATAAGATATTCTCTCTCTCACTGTTGTCGAGTCAAATTCGACTCATACTGACCCCTCCTTGGGTTGCCAAAGTGATATCTCTACGGAAGTAGACTGCCCAATCTTCCTTCTGAAGAGTGGCTGCTGGGCTTGAACTGCCAGCCTTCTAGTTAGCAATCAAATGCCTTAGGAACTGTACTTTCCTTCTATCAACATTGTTTTGAATTTATTTTTGATGTCAAGATTATATTCTCTACAACAGAGGATGTAGGCTTCACAGACTTAGAGGCATTTTTTTCAGTTAATATTCCTGTTGAGCCCTGTCTTTCCAGAGAACAGAACCAAGATTCTGCATCAGTAAACAAAGCCATCCCCTATATATGATATTCAGTAAGGAACATATACAGCAACCATTCGACTAGGTCTACAGCCATAGGTGCAATTGATGTCATGAAAAAAAATGTGTATGAACTGCTGTATAAAAAATGAATTTTCTCTGTAAACTTATACTCAAATCACAATAAAATATGGTATACAGCCATAAATATAATGTTTTAAATTTAAACATAAATTTAAAAATAAATAAATAAAAATAATGTATAATTGAAATCTCCATAACCATGATCAGTTCAAGAAGTACTAGAATATTCCATTTGGTTGTTTAATTGTATATTAATGGGCAGTGATTTAATTTATGCCACAATTTTCTTTTTAAAAAAAAACTATTGTATCCAAATTTATATGTGTTTATAAGGAAACCATTACTGCTGTGATTCCAAGTATGTTTATTAACAACTGTACCTGAGGTAGGAGGGAAGGGAACTTTGACCCAATTTTGTAGATGTATCTCTTTAAATTTTAAATAGGGATTATATTATCACATAATTTTAATCTTATTAGCCACTCTCATTTTTCCTACATACAGAGGAAAAAATACATACTTTAAACTACCATAGATTTCTCTGTTATACATTATATTCTCAAATGGTATCTCTTTAGAGGCAGAACGGTGTACAAATTTATCAACACCTTATTTCATAATAATCAGTAATTTTAAATTAATAAACAAAATGATTATGCCTGTTCCCAACAGATAAGAGAACACTTATTAGAACAATTTCGTCATCATTGTCTAATCCAATGAACACTTGTTCTTGAGTTGATTCCGACTCAGAGCTACCCTACAGGAGAGAATAATATTATTCTCTTCATAATAGGGAAATTATTGACACTTGGAAAAAAGAAATGAAGGATAAGTCATAATATTTTTTAAAAAGTAAAAGGAGGCATAAGAAGAAGTCTTTTATAATGAATTCAGAGCCCTGAGGAAACAAATCCTATTTATCTGAAATTAGGTTGCAAAAAATGTATTTTTTAAGTTTTAATAAAAGTAATTTCATACTTATTTCATCTTATGAAACACAAAGAGAGAGATGTTTAAGTATAGAAATTGTTTTTCTTCTTTGGTCATTACCTTAAACAAATAGGTGAAAGATTTGACTATGATTTAGAATGAATTAACTGCTACAGCAATTAATCCAGCTGAGTGTTCAGACAATTTTCAGCAATTAGTTTCCACCTTTTTGTTTTCACAATGCCTGGAAGAAAATGTTCCTGTCCTTAATGCTGTAAGATTCTCATTAGAAATATCACTGGATGAACTTTAAGTGTTGCATGTTTAATAGCTTTTCTACCATGAGACATTTTTAAAGTTAAATATTTTCTGGTTTTTAGCATCATTACAGAGTGAGCACAAGTTATTTATCAAATCATAGTAAAGAAAGACTGCCTCCTTTCCAGAGAAAAGATGAAGTTTGATAAGAATGATTTAAAAGTCTATACCTAGGCATCGGGTTTCAGATCCACTCCAGAGACCTGAGGAAAGGCATTCCCGGACAGCAGAGCCCACAAGCATGAACCCCGCATCGCAGGTGAAGATAGCGGTGGAGCCGTAAGAAGTTTGAGTCCCAATCTTATTTCCGTTTGTTGGTGTAGGGAGTTCCCCACAGGAAATAACTTAAAAATAATAAGTAAGCAAAAGTCCTTAAAGACAAAGTATATGCTTTAACATATACAAAGACAAAACTATGCTTTAACATTGGAGTTCCAAACACTCAATGAATTTACAATTGAAACTGATTTTCAAAAGCACATGAATGAGTATGAAAGTATATAGAAATCCATGACATGCTTTAAAATTATTCACTTTGAGTTTCCACAGAACCTTTCAAACGGCAGTGCCATTTGACGAAGTTATTGTCGTTGTATTTCTTTCTTAGCCAACCTGGTCAATCAGCAAGTTGTAGTGAAAAATAAAAAATCACAAGAATAGAAAGGAGAAAATTTGTTAATCTAAATTTTTTCTCTGTTTTATCAGGTGACATTGGGTAATCTATTTACCTTACCTGAGCCAAAGTTTTCCTATATCTAAAACAAATCTAATATAATAATTACAATTAGCTTATGTCATTGACCCTACAGTTTATAGAGAATATTACATATAAAACAACCTTTATTCTCACGTGATCATTAGATATATTTGCGCTTACCATGTTGTTTAAAAGTTTTTAAAAATTGAGAAAACAGACTGACTCGGTAAGTCTCAGAACCTATCTATAAATGACTCCTTCATATTTAAAACTCTTAGTGAAATATCCTTGTAGAATAAAGACAATAACGTTTATCAAGTTCTTATTACGTATGAGGCACTTTCCTTACTGTGGGCAGAAACCTGTTCTTACATTTCTTCTAAACCTTACTATATAACACAGGACCCAGCACAGAGGAACCAGACAAACATGTGATGAATGAACAAATAAATAAGCAGCTTCTTCCCAGCTCCTTGAAATATCCCTTTCCAATTTGCCTTTTCAATGAAATTATACTGCAAGAGTAAGGATGCTAGAGGAAGAGAAAGAATATGGGAGAAAACCTGGAAGAATACGCAAAACTTTAGGATACCTAATGTAATTTAGGCATTTACTATTATGAATTTAATTTTTCATGTGACTATCTTACAAAACCAGGCAACCAAAAAAAAAATACTTGTGCTTATATGGAAAATAAATCTAAATATTCATAATTAAAATAACAAGTACTTATGAACCTACACATAAGATAGTTCTATGCTGTGTTAAACTACTTAATTGTCATAATTCTACTTAGACTTTTGATGTATTTATTAATTTATTAATAAATTATATGTGTCTGTGCTGTATTGGGACAAGAATGGAAAGTCAGAATTTAAGGCATATCGTTGTTCCTGGCACAAAGTAGTCACTTGATAAATACAGTGAAGAAAACTGAAAAGAAGTTCAAGATATTGCATCTGAATATCTTATGTCAGACACTGGCCATCTGCACTGAAACAATGCATGGAAACAAAATGACAGTATGTTCAATTTTGTTCAATAAGTATTTACTGAGGTCCTGCTATGGGTCAGAATCTAGCTGTCATTTATAAATGCATCATACCATTAAACCTTCACAGTAAGTCTATGAGATAGGTATTATAATCATCGTAGTTTGGTAGTTCAAGAAACTTGTGATCAGAGAGAGTAAATGTCACAGGACATAGTGGTTAAAGTCCATGGCTGTCATCTGACAGCTTGGGTTGAACCCCATTTTACTATTTATAAGCTCTGTGACTTAGACCAAAGGCTAAAGTATAGGCCTTAGTTTTCCCTTTCTGTAGAAAGAGGAGTATGATAATATCAAGTACTTGATAGGATTATAAGTAAGAAATAAATGAAATAATACATTTAAAATGGTTAGAAAAAGTGCTTGGGATGTAACAAGTATGTAATAAACGTTGCCTGGTAGTTGTAGGAAAGCATGGCACTATAATGCAAACACAGGACTCTCCAACTCCAAAGTCCATGCTATTCTCACAAGCATTTACTAATGCAAAAATGAAAAGGTGATGATAATAAATGATCATGTTGATTATTTTATCCTATTATTGTCCTCCTGTGTTTGGAAGAGGACATGACCAGGCAAATCAATCACCAAGGATAGCTTATGAAATCAGCTTGGCAGAATGTATACTTACTTTGGCAATATGGTCTTTCATTTCTCCAACTCCAGGTACCATTAGGAAGGCACTCAATAGAAGCAGGGCCTAATCCATGATAACCAGGATCACAACTAAAAACTACCTTGGTTTTGTATTCATAATGGGAACCATTCACAATTCGCCATCTTCCATGTTCCAAGGTAAAGGAATTGATGCTTGGACATGTAACAACTATACAAAAACCAAGCAAATAAATGTTAATAAGTCAATCATATCAGTTCTACCCTGTAAGCACATTTCATGTCTGTTCTATCCTTTCTCTCTTCCCAACTCTAGTTCAGTCTTTATTGTGCCATACAATGTCCTTCAGCATCTATTACCCAGAATACAGTACTTCCAGCAGTTCTACGACACACGGGCTGCCGTTTCACACTTTGGAGTCTTTGTACACATTATTCCTCCTGTCTGGATTCCTTATCATTGCTTTACTTCTATGCTTTTATTTCTTTAGCAGTTTTGGAAAGGCTACACTGTGAGAAAACTTATTTGATTAGAATGGCTTTTATAATGGAAGAACTGATTTAAACTTTAGGTAATTCAAAACTTGTTTCACTTAAGTAGACTATTATCAGACCCTTGTGCTACGATTGGAAATAATTTAAGAATTTTCTTATACCTATAGGAATTTAGGTAATTTACCCTTAAGAATATAGGTAAAATCACAGGTAAGTTTAAAAGCTAATACTAAGTAAATGTGGTTGTTAAGGTTGTATGTCCACTTGGCTGGGCTTGATTTTGAGTGGCTGGGTAGCTGGTTGTAACTATTTTTCCTGATGAGACAGGTAACAAACTCCATGGTGGAATCTACTGTGAGCAGCTGAATAGCTGCCTTAGGGATGTGCTCTGCTGCCCGTATGTAAGAAGACTCTTTGAGAATGGTCTGGAACTTTTGGTACAACTGGATCCTGCATTTGGCTGAGTCTTTTCAGTGGCCTGCTATGTTGTCTGCCAATCATGGGACTGTTAATGGACATGAATTAGTGCCCTGCTGCAAGATTCCATAATTTTAGGACTGTGCCATTTTACTTGTCAACCTTGGGTTTGTCAGTCTCAGCAGCCAACATATGCTTGTGTTGAGAGAAGCCTCCAGCTTTAGTGGGCTGGAGCAAGAAGCAAAGCTGAAGCCCAGTGTCCAGGGGCTTCCACCCAGCCCTTAGAGCTGGCACTATGAACTTGGACTTCTAGCCTACTAAACCGGAAGAGGGTAAATCCCTGTTTGTTAAAGCCACCCACTTGTGGTATTTTCTTTCAAAGAGCCATTAGAGGATTAAAAAAAAAAAAAAAAATAGGGAAAAATAATCAAAATACAGAGAAAATCAAAGACCTAATATAAACTAAATTGTTCAATCCTTTTACTCTAATACATTTTATCAGAATTATTTTTTCTGAGCATTATATAATATGTGTTTACCTACTAAAGTAGCAAAGCCAGCAATGGGATATACTGTAAATATCAGTAACCTGAATAATACCAATAAAAGGCCAATGATATGGATTATTACAATGGCATTATTTCCCCTTGCTAAAATCAGAGATGAATGTATTGAAATAAAATTTAATTAAAGAAAACTTTAAAAATTTTGAGGGCCTATATAATAAAAACATGTTGATTGATGGCTGGTTTTTTTTTTTTTTTTTAACAAAATAAGGGAAACTTTGCCATGTAAGATAAAAATACTTCTTTATTTGCTTATAAACATTCTGGTGTTCCCGAAAATGAGTGAAAAGTCCTTATACTGTCTCCCAGCACTTTTTATTCATTGTAATTTGGGTGAAAGTTCACATAACAAATTGGTATCTTCCAGTATTTGACTATAATTAAGGTAGATTAATTAACTGTTATTTCCCTCTTAGACATCTAACTTCATTTCAGGGATTAGTTTTAAAAAATAATAATATATAACTTTACAGGGAGCTCTGGTGTCCCAGGGCCTAAGACATTTGACTGCTAACCAGAAGGCTGGAGATGCCGTTAGAAACAAAAATGATGACTTTTCCCTCACACACATACCAACACAGCGAGGGGTCTTGTTATGATTGCTCCATGTTCCGTCTGACTGACATATGGCAGTGGTGAGCTCCTTGGATGACAATCTATATCCATCATTACAAAAATAGGTAACTCGGGTTCCTACCAAGTAGTCTGTTGTGAGGATCCCGCCATTTGTTGGAGCTTTAGGTATCCCACAGGAAATTGCTAGAATAAATGCATACGTACATAATTATAGAACCAGAGAGATGTTTACCGTATTAGATAAGTCTCTGAAACTGTAATACATGTAAAAACTATTTATAGTTTTATCATTTCCTCTAAAATAATTTCAGAATACTCTCCTCAAAATAGCTTTCCTGAATGACAATTTCTTTAATAATTCATTTCAAACTGCTGTTATATTTAATATATATTAAATAAAAATATATTTATTTTTAGATTGGAGAACCCTTATAATTTTAATGCTTTATCTCTTGGTTTCTCAGTTTTTTCACCATATGCATGGTTAGTTGCATTCATATAGAGTATACGAAGACACAAGTTAGGTAGATACATAGTGCATCAAGTGCTAAGCGATGACTGGACCACCGATAGCAAGTTAGGTTAATTCAATTTGACAGATTATAAAGATCATAAAGGTCTTGGCAACCAATACCCATAGGTAGTTTTGTCAGGAGTAAAGCAAATAGATTTGTTTTACCTGGAAGCTGGCTATTCCTTTCTTTAGGTATAGACAAAAGGTGGTGGCATAGTGCCTAAGACA